GTTTGTCAACTCAAAGACTGAAACAAAAGCACTATAAAAACAAGCGATTTCATAGAATCATAGGGTTGGAAGGGACCTTGGAGGTCTTCTAGTCCAACCCCCTGCCCAAGGCAGGAGTCCTCATTTCACTGACTTTCTTTGATAAAAGCTTCTATTAAGCAAAGATCGAGTGGAGGGGGGAATCCTCCAAGTAATCCAGTGATGTTTCTTACTCTGCGTATGATGCACCCTGTCTCTACTTACCTCCCGTTCTGCTTTGCTCTCCATAAACACAGTCCAAAGTTTCCGGGCTGACTTCCTGTTTTCTTCATTTTGGCATGGCCCTCGTGGTCAGATGTCCAACAGCAGCTCCCCCGCTTCTTGGTTGCTTATCTCCTGATAACACCACCGCTCAAACAAAGGATATAGGCTTCCATTTGCCAAACAAAGGAAGTGTGGTCCAGTTTCAAAGTCTGGCTATGCAACACGCAGGGTCCCCTCCGCCAGTAATAACAACATGTCATCAATAATGTAAAATACTACAGGAGGCTGGTGAATTATGAAGCAGATGGTGGCAAAGGAGCGGATGGGCTATTCTATATATTGGTGTGTCTTCATACTTTACATAGCTCTTGTTTCTACTCCCTGGCAAGTCTAAGACCAGAAGCATCAGCCGTTCCTTCTTAAGCTGGAGGAGTCACGGAGAATTGCATCTTCTAGCTCTGGATAGACTCGCAAAACAAACAAATAAAATTCTGTTGTTGGACAGGAGCTTTTGCTAGTTTGTGGTCTTTGGCAGAAGACCCAAGTATGCATCTCAGAGGGTGCCAGCTTGGTGTTAATTCTTAACCAAAAGCACCAGTGAGAGAAATTCAGGACAGCTGTTGGTTCCTGGGAAGTGTGTAAAAGGTAGAGCAGCTCTAGGTAATATTACTCCATCTTTCTCCGTGGAGGATCATCAGATTAAAGAGATGGTAACTTCTCACTGCTAGAGGAAGGGGTTGTAGGGGGGCACTGAAGGCCATAAAATAAAGGATACTGCATTTTTGCAAATGTAAATAAACTTTTCCCTTTCTCTCATTGAAAATTTTCTTCTTCTTCTTCTTCTTCTTCTTCTTCTTCTTCTTCTTCTTCTTCTTCTTCTTCTTCTTCTTCTTCATCATCATCATCATCATCATCATCATGCCTGGCAATGCTTTTGTGTATCTGAGGTTTTTACACTTTCTACCAACAGAAAGTGGTTGATGAATGGCTTGTCTATTTCTGGTTTCAGCTGATTTCCCTCCTTCCTTCCAGAATCCATGACAACCTGGGCTGGGCGAATACAATCATGCTGGTAGCATCTACTATTTCACTTTCTGTCTTAGAGCTTCCATCCTTCTTAATGTTCAGGGAGGACCTGTTTTTGCTGTTTAGATTCAGGAACTGAAACAACATATTCTTCTTATTCAGTTTGAGGGGAAAAATCTTTTTGGTTGGCTTTCTCCAAGAAGAAAAAAACATTGGTCACGTTCTCCTGGGTGGAGTCTGCCAACGTTGCTTTCGAATTATGAGATGGCCAAGGAGAATGGGCAAATCTCTTGTCTTTTATTCTGCTACTCTTTCTCAAGTACTCTGCAGCCTTCCTGGATTCCTACCATGAAATCAAATCCCCAAAGACCTTTGGGGGTAGGGTAGGGTAGGGTAGGGTAGGGTAGGGTAGGTAGGGCTTGGTTTTTTCAAATCAAAGGAAGGGCAGCCAGAGAGGCTGCAAAATGAGGGAAGGATTAGTCACATCAAAAGCCAGCCTTTGCAGTTGCACATCCCTGCCACCTCTAAAAATAAATTCAGAAGCAGCTTCTAAGAAAGCCTGAAGATAAATTAGAAAAATAGTTCTTTTCTGGGAAAAGAGAATTTTCAAGAGACTCAAGGCTAGATTTCTTTTAGGGTTGCATAAGTGGGGGCCTCATCAAATGTCTTGACTTGAAGAGCCTATCCAATATTGGCAATCAAATTTTAATTGTTAATGTGATAGGGAAAATGGTTGAATTCATAAAGAATGAACATATCTATTTTTAATACAATTTAATTATAATTCAGGTTTATCTTTAAACAAGCATCTCTCATTTGTATTGTGGCCTTGCCCACCTCTTTGTCCTGTAGTTGTCTTCCAAGGGTTTGATCTTGTGCCCCCCCATCTACCACTCCAAGGTTTAGTTTGGCCCTTAGTCCAACAAAATTGTACACCCCTCGTTTGGATGCTGCTTCAGCCTTATTACAGGTAGTCCTTGCTTACCAACTGCCTCATTTAGTGACTGTTTGAAGTTACAACGGTGTAAATAAAACCAGCTTTGTGACCAGTCCTCGCATTTATGACCATTGCAGCATCCCATGGTCATGGGATCACCATTTGTGTGCTTCCCAACCAGTTTGTGACAAGCAGTTAATGGAGAACGCAGAAGTAAAATTGTAAGTTGTGGTCACGTGATGTCTCCCTTAACAGCTGGAATGACTTGCTTAACGACCAAATGGAAATGATGTCATACATCCATCGCGGTCATGTGATTTTCCGCTTAGCGACAGCGTTGCTGGGCCCAATTATAGTCACTAGGTGAGAACTACCTGTACTGTCAAGAAAAGCTAGTAGCTTTTCTTTTGGGACTGATCAATCAACAGTTGGAAAAATGTTATGGAACTTTGTTTTTACATATGATAACTGCAGCCAGATTATTATATCCACAAAGGTGGAAAGATCTGACATTACCCACCACGGAGGAATGATTGGTGAAGATGATGGAACTTGCTGAGATGGCTAGATTGACTTCTTTGATTAGAGAAAAGACATTATCTATGTTTATTGCTGACTGGAAACCCCTTATAGACTTTTTGCGTGAAATAGAAAAAAATGAATTTATGATTTATGGTTTTGATGATTAGAAAAAAAAAGATTATAGAAAAAATGAAAGACATGTAACCGTAGAATAAGAGGCTCATTTAGACTTATAACTGCTATAAAGAAAATTGGAAGCCACTTCTTTATATTTTCTTTCTTTTCTTTTTTCTGTACTTTTGGCTTATCTTTCTTTTCTTTCTTTTTCCCCTTCTATATTAGTTTCTGTTAGTTTTTATCTTTCTTTTTTTAAGTTGTAATAAAATTACATTAAAAAAAGAAAGGAAAGCTAGTAGCTGACCATAATTCTGACTCTGTTGCTCACCCAAAGCTATCCTTAGTCATCACCAAGAGCAGGGTTCCTCAACCTTGGCAGCTTTAAGATGGGTGGACTTCAACTTCCAGAATTCCCTTGCTGGCTGATGGAAGGGAATCCCTTGCTGGCTGATGGAATTCCCTTGATGGCCTTCCACCCATCTTAAAGTTGCCAAGGTTGAGGAACCCTGACCAAGAGGATACATCCATCTCATTTTGGGGTTCTTAAGAAAACCCCTTTGCCTGGAAGCAGATGATCAGAGGAATAGCTACCGACAAAGCTGGGAGCTGTCTTCTTGAAAACACCATCTCCCTCGCTTCCAAGGGAGTGTGAAATGTGATTGTTCAGTTTGGAAGCAGAGCCACCCAGTAATGATTCAGGAAGCTTAACTGTACCTTGGGACCTGAAACTTGACGCACCCCATTTGGTGCTCTGTCTCAGCAGAGCAAAACCAAACCTATAAAACACGGGAGCTCAGTTAATTTGTTCCCGGGGCTGGCCAGAGCAGGCCATGGTTGGTCAGAGCAGACCATGGTTTCTGGGACAATGGAACAGAGCTGCTGGGTCTGTTCCGAGAGAGCAGAGCAGAGACTCAAGAAGTCCTGATGGTCATCTTCCTCTTTAGATTGAACAGTGCATTTTTGTCTTCCTTCTCCAGGACCAAGCCCCTGGCATCGTGGCTCGACTACAGGAGCCAGGAGTTCCCTCCAATTCAGGCTCGGTGCCCGCCCAGGCTCCACCCTTGGTGAATGATTACACCATGAGGAACCAACTCCTAAAGCAACAGATTATGAGACGGCGACAGCAGCAGCAACAGCAGCAGCAACAGCAGCAGCAGCAACTCCAGGTTGATCTTTTAGCAACTGCTAGCAAACCCAGGATCGTTCATAGGCTAGCCCTTCCGGGGATGAAACAATTCCAGTTATCATGGCAGAATGATGGACCGTCCATCTGCCGTGATAGCTGGGCTTAGTTTGACATGTGTTTATTTACTCATTTATTTCCTGCGGTTTCAGTGTTCCTCCAAGCCAGCAGGATTCCCTTTTTACAGCAAAATGCAAGGACCGTATAATAAAAGAGCAGAAATGCAGTAAGAAAGAATAACAAAGAATTCATAAGAAGGGAACTAGGGTCACCAGGTAGAATAAACATTCGAGCACAGCCAAGGTAGGAGATTCTAACTTAAATCAGATTCCCCTCCCAGGACGTTTTGTTTAAGCCTGGTTTTATCGGCTCTCCTAAAACCCAACAAGATGGAAGCAATACATTCTTCCAAAGAAGTAGGCCTGCAACAGAGAACCTGACTTTTGGGGTCCTAAAGGAGGCAAACCCCAAAGTAAGGGATCTGCTGTCAGCCTGCCCTGCAACACAAACCAGTCTTCTTTTACTTGATCTCCAAGCTTTCGGCCCCTGTAGGCATTCCTCCCCGTGAAAATTTCTTGCATCTTACAAGGAAAGGGCATGAGGAAGAAAGAAAGTTCAGAAGCAGGAGATAGGACCAAAAAGAAAGACCAAAAGTGTTTGTAGGAACCCAGAGGGAAAAGGCAGACTTTGAGGCCATAATGGGATCAGAGAAAGTTATGGAGGACCCTGATCTGAAAGAGTTTAATGAAAGAGTGTCGGGGTGTCCAGACCTTCTCCAGAAGTTGCCATCAAATCATGTTTAATGTTAGAGAAGAAGGAAATCACTAAATAGTCATATTAGCAGTATTTGTTTATATTTTTATGTGAATGTAAAACTAAATGAAAGCAAATTTCGTTTTTGTCCACGCTTTACTTGCTTTTTGGACTGTGGCCCTAGCGTGCCAGAAGCCAAGTGGGGCCCTTTGCCCCTGGCCCGCAGAAGTTGCACATACTCTAGTTTAACAAGTTGTGGGGTAGGCTGTTTCCCAAATATTGGAAGGAACATAGTGATGAATTGGATGTCTCCTCAGAAGAAGAGAAGGGTTGCAAACAGATGTTGCAATTTTATTTCTCCTTTCAGTGACTGAGGTTCAGCATTCAATATGAATTGCAAACGATTGTGGTTTCCATATTCTATATTAAGGCCATCGTTAAGCCAAGAAAAAATATGGAATGTTTTGAGATCCCCAGATCTCTTAATCAGGCAGGATATTTCCTAAAAAAACAGTTTGAGTACAGAAGATGAGGAGGAAAAGTTGGCTGATCTGAAGTTGAAGTTGTAAAGTCTGCAAAATTAGTATCGCAAAATACTAAAACTTGGGTGGGAGCAGCTAACATTCCACTTAGACTCTCTTTGGTATTGTGGTACTTTGAAGCTACATGCTAAGGTTTTAAAAAAATGAAGATCCCCCACTTTTAAAAATATAAAATCTGGAACTTGAGTCAAACCCATCTCTGTCCTTGTACAAAACACACTAGGTTTTTGGAGGGTGAAAACAACGATACAGTTTCCCCAAATCCCAGAACACCCAGGGTGAGGAATTTATGTTCCTCCAGATATGTCTGAATTACGATTTCCAGATCTCCATCCACCATGGACAGTGGTGAGGGTTGCTGGAAGCTATTGACAGTAACATCTGGTGGACCACAGGTTTTTCACCTGTGCTGAAAGGGAACCCAATTAGGACTGTGTAGAAGGAGACAAAAGGTATGTGTTTAAAAAATTCTAGGGACAGTTCATGAATCTATATCTGGAAACAGGAAGCAACTCTTTTTACATGCATTTGCATTGCACGGAAAATGCTCTCAGTGTGAGAACACAACTTTTCTTTCTCTTGCTTCCTAGGAAAAGCAGAGGCATGGCATGATGGGCGTGGCATCTGAACAAAGGGGTCCCTTTGCGGGCCAGCAGATGAACCAGTTTCCAGGTAAAAAGGAAGAGGGTTTGATCTTAAAATCCCGTTCTTCTGGGAGCTTTTTTAAATTCAGGGATTTCACGGAAACCTAGATAAGACATTAGATGTTTATCCTGCTTGCAGATCTAACATTCCTCCTGTTGCTGAGCTGTGTAAAACAGATTGTTCCCTGTAACAGGAAGAGGTTTGTAGAATAACTGTGGTATATACCAAAGCTTTAATGCCAATGTCTCATGTTTGGGTGGCAATAGTGCAGAATTACAGAATATGTAATTTTGCAGCTGTTGACTACAGCAAAACAAAACTCGCTTTGCAGAATGCAATTCCAGATTTTGCAATCTAGAGCTTGAAATGTGGAAGTTAGAAAAAAGTGAAAGTACACGAAGCCCAGAATTCAGATTTTGGAACTACACATTGAGATTAGATGGTGAAAGTTTATGCGCCAGCAGCAAAGAATGTTGCTGGGTCATATGTGGCAAGACTCCACTTTTTAAAATCCCCAAACGGTTTTGAAATCCAGCTGAGAGAAAGCTATAATGCAAGAGTGTTGTTTTATTTTTACCATGATTTCTGTTGATGGTGCAGTTTGGCTCTAGGGAACTTGAGCACGTTTATGTTTGGAGCACTGATTAGACAAGAACGACTGTCCTTTTAGCAAAGAGAAAAACTGATTGCCCGCAACAGTTAAAAGCTAAGTCAAAAGCAATTGCCGGTACCTTACTTGAACCCTAATCACTAAAATGGATAGTTCACTTTCGAAACATCATTGGCAATGTAACAATCGGGTCGGATTATTCTTTCATGTCGGACAGCAATGCTGTAAAGCTCAACCATTCTGGAAAATGATTCATTTTCAGGTTTCTGAAACAGTGTAACATACCCTGTTAGTTATAATCACGGAATGAAATATTGAAAAAGATGGTAACTTCTATGATACTTGTTAATCCCCTGTTGATTCACCTGATTCTATTCTTTTTCTTCTTTCGCCTTTCCTGTTTATATGTTTTGTCTTAAAATATTCCATAAAAACATATTATTTTAAAAAAAAAGAAAGAAATTGTTGCGTAGGTTCAACACGCCATCCTTGCAGAGTTATAAATTAGGAGTTTAAAGGCATGGCTCTCAAGCATCTGTAAACCGCCCAGAGTCACTTTTTAACGAGATGGGCAGTGACAAGTTTGATGAATGAATGAATGAATGAATGAATGAATGAATGAATGAATGAATGAATGAATGAAATAAAAACCTGCTCACTTATTAATGCAAGATCTTGCTCGTCTCTCCCCAGCAGCTTCCCAATCCATGCCAACCGACTGCAGTCAGTCCATGCAGCCCTCTGGCTCCAACCACCGCATGATACCTCCTGCCCAAGGGATCTTGCAGAACACCTTGGCCTCTGGGATCGGGCCACCCGCTGTGAACCAGAACAGTGGCGCAATGGTGATGATCCCGCATAACCCCAACAAGCAGCCAGCCATCTTCCCCCCAAATTCCGATTTCAACCTCCCGCTCCGAGCAAGCCAAAACTCGCTGGGCATGACTTCAGGATGTCAGACCGTTCACAGCCATCCTGCAGCTCGGCCAGGCATGCCTTTGCTCAGCTTCGCCACTGGTGCTTTGGTCACTCATTCTTCTGCCCAGCAACACCTCAGGCAGCAGGCCATGACGAGAATGCCAGCCATCTATTCCAACTCCTCCGCTCCGATGTGGACACCAACAGTAGTTCCGAGGATGCCAAATCAAACTCCGATGGAAGCCGGCATGCACCAGTTCTCTAATAATCCCGTCTTCTCCAAACAGAACATCAGGTCAAGTATCCCCAGCCAACCATTTTCTCACCAAGCTGGGCCTCCTCCCAACCAGATCGTTCCCGGGGTGCAGGTCAGACAGATGCAGAAAGTCAATCTTGGACCTTCTAACCAAAACTTAATCCCTCTAAATAATCAGAACCTGAGACATGGTTTAACCAGAGGACCTTTGCCAGCTGCCATGAATGTCATGAAATCAATACCCCAAGGGGTCTCTGGGTTTAACCAAATCAACGCTGCTCCAGCTGTTGGGCCGCCCAGTTATCCAGGCTCAGCTGGGCAGTCGTCCGTAACGTTCAACAGAATGAACGTTGCTTTGGAGTTGTCACCACAGTACGACTTTGTAACTCAGCAGAACAACGCCATGTTACCCGGGACGTGCAATGAAGCTGACTTTATTGACTCTTTGATGAAGAACAGCGGCGGCACTGATGAAGACTGGCTAAATAATTTGACATTGATAGATGACATTTTGGGACAGCACGTTCAGAGTGCTGGACACGTGTGATTCTAGAGAGGAACGGCAGGAGGTGTAAATAATTTGCAGGACCTGAAATGGAACCCAAACAGCTACAAAAAAATAACGACGACGTTTTAAATCTTCTTCTTTCGGAGTCGAAAGAAAGAATGATACCCACTTCGCTTGCTTTCCTCCAGGGTTTTTTCAAATGGCTGTGTACATATTTGAATATTTTGTAAATTATGTTTTCCTAAACATTAAATATGGAAGTATTTATACTTCTTTGCTGGACTTTGTAAATACCTTATAGACTACTTTTTTTTTTCTTATATTATAGGAATTACACTTTGTTCTAAATATGCAAATATTATGGTTAGTTCCAGTAATACTGTGTATTACAGCATCAAATATTTTATGTTTTTGACATAATGTATGAATGAGGGGTGCCCTGGAAAACAGAATAAACGGAAAGAAAAATTTGCAGTAATTCCTACCTCCCTACTTCTTCTAGTGCAAATTGTATAAGCCTCCGTTTTGATTGGCCGCCAAAAAGCTTTGCAGAATAGCTGATTGGGACAAGCTCCTACATGAAATGGAAGAACGCTGTTCTTTTTCCATCAGGGGTTTCTTCACACAGTGAGTATCTTCTCACTGCATTATTTTAATGGGGACAGGCAAATTGGGGGCAGAGGGCGGGCATTATGCACACTTGGGACACAATCCTTTGGGTCTGCGGTGGTCTGTGTGAAAAAGAAACGCGTGGAATGAGTGTTCTCCCAGAAGATCAGACTGGCTCCAAAACGAGCTGATCCTGGAAACTGTAAAAAAAAAAAAATCAATTTCACAAAAAGCAAACTTCTGAGGTGGTTCCATGCTCCCCTGTAGCTTCCCCAGTTTATCTGTCTCTTATTTGTGTGCTTTGCAGCTTCCCCTTTAATTGCTTGGAAACTTTTTAGAGAAGAACCTATTGAAATATTAGGAGCCCCAAGGCGGGAAGTTGGACCCATCTGAGCACCTGGGGTCTGCCCAGCCCCTCCTTGGAGTACAACCTCAAGCAATGCCTTTCTGGCGTGAAGAAGCCCCACAGAGGAAGTCTAAAAGCTGGGCAGACCTCTGGAGCCACACCCCAGATGTTAATCCTAGGAGTAGCTCCGTCCTCCCCAAATGCCGCAGCGTCTGTCAATGGCAGAAATGCCCGTGTGCTTCTGCAAGGCACCCCAATGAGAGTAACTAAGCTATGCCAACGTGGCTACATGAAGCTGCCCCTGGAGAAATCAGGTGCTGGTCTTGAGAAAGTGTTAGAATGCCAAGGCTGTTTTGCAACACGCTCTGTGCCAGGATGCCCAGCTCTAAAAACAGAGGTCTTTCTGATTTGCTCACCTCAACCATGTATATTTGTAGAAAACAGATGCTTTGTTCTTGGTTCTAAATGATTTTTTTTTTTTGTATTCTGTTTTTAATATAAGGATTACCCCCGCCCCCTCTCCCCAGGATAAAAATGTCTATAAAACACAAAATAGCTTAACTTTGGATGTTTTTTCTGTCATGTATATTTAAGAGTCTGTTTATCAAAGAAATCCATTGTACTGTACACTTCTTCAAAAAAATGTTCCTGCTTTGTGTAACCATATTTTAATAGCCACGTCCTCCTCCTCCATTTGTAAAATAACATTCATGTCAGACACACCAAACTGTTTTTTCCTTCATACCATAATAAACTGCCAGGGAAAAATTGCACTCACTGAATGTTTTCAGTTATTTGTTTTGTAGGAGCTGTTTTTAAATACATATACATACGAATATAGTTTGTGATGCTTGGATGAATGTTGACAACCTATTATTTCTGAACAAGGAGAAGAGCACGAAGTCTTGCTAGGAAAGGTTTTGAAACCCGCAAGGCATTCTACCACGGGTTGCTTTGCGCACATGCTTAGGAAGAACTAATCGTGGTAGAAGTAGCTACTAATCAGGTTTGCAAAGTGTCCAGAACTCTTCCAGCATAACACGTGCTCTGGCATCCTAAAAAACAACATAAATTATCATGAACCTTTATCAGATGTAGGGAGCGTTATTCCAAGACACACCCATAACATAAGGCAGGAAATGAGTAAAAAAAAAACCCTAGAGGCAAATAAAATTATGAGATGCAGGCATTGATAATTACCTATAGCAGTGTTTCTCAACCTCGGCAACTTTAAGACACGTGGACTTCAACTCCCAGAATTCCCCAGCCAGCATGCTGGCTGGGGAATTCTGGGAGTTGAAGTCCACACGTCTTAAAGTTGCTGAAGTTGAGAAACCCTGACCTATAGATTGAGGCCATTCACAAAAGAGCACATTCTTTAACTAGAGAGCAGATTAGCATACGCCAACTGGATTCGCGCTTCTCGCTATGCGATGGTCGGTTTAATAAATAAAATTATGAGATGCAGGCATTGATAATTACCTATAGCAGTGTTTCTCAACCTCGGCGACTTTAAGACACGTGGACTTCAACTCCCAGAATTCCCCAGCCAGCATGCTGGCTGGGGAATTCTGGGAGTTGAAGTCCACACGTCTTAAAGTTGCTGAAGTTGAGAAACCCTGACCTATAGATTGTGGCCATTCACAAAAGAGTACATTCTTTAACTAGAGAGCAGATTAGCATACGCCAACTGGATTCGCGCTTCTCGCTATGCAATGGTCGGTTTAATCATAATTTAATAAGCCACGGCATGCTAAGCCCAAACCAAACAGCCACATTATGGATCGCTTGGCTTAGCAGGAGGCTGAACCAGGTCATAATGTGATATTAAAACACTGCTCCCTTTTTTTAAATCCCTGAGAAATAGTGCCGGGATTAACCTCCAACAGGAGCTGTACCCGTAAAGCTGCTTCTCGGTTACACTCATAATGGCTGTGTTCACAAAACAGCCTCAACCCGATCAGCAAAGATTGACTAGCTGCCTTTACAGAATCAGCTTTGGGTGGTTAGCAGGCTAAGATGAACCTGCCCCCCCAGTTAGTTGATGGTTAGTTTAGGGTTTCACGTATTGTGTGAACTGAGCAAATTATACAGTCCAAGAACATGAAACGGACTCATTGTCCAGTCCAGAGCGCACCTTGAACGGCCACCATCCTTTCCCAAAGTGGGGACATCAAAGATGGAGTGGGGGTTACAGCTCCTAGAATTCCTATGGGTGGGAATTCTGGAAGCTAGAATCCCAGTATATTATGGGAAAGGCTAGTTTAGGGATGAAAGGCCACAGAAAGGGGTGAGAAGCAAGAGATTTCAGCAGTAGGATGCTGAAATAACACACACACACACCAATTTAACCAGCTGCTCATTTGTATGTGTTTTTTAAGATTTTTCCCCCCAATGTCTATACTCTGGTTCTTGGCATGTAGGCTTTGAACCGGCTATTAGGCACCATGCCATCTGCAATGTCTGACACGTATTTTTGCATCTTGCACTCATTACATTTTCCCGTCGCTTAGAAGGTAAACTGGTCGCTGCTAAACCTTGGAAAGGTCGCTGCCAGGCATACCCTGCTCTTTGAACCCCCAAGAGGGGTCCCTTGGAGATCATGAACTGCATTAATATATAAATGAAAATAAATTGTGGGGTGTTTTTTTTCCTCTCTCTCCTTTTCGGGGAAGAATGATCCCCTAAAGAGCTTCAGGGAAGAAACAAAGGATATCAATAGAGTTAAACAATGGATCATTCTCAGAGGCAATTCCCCAGAATTTTGCTCTGTCACTGGAGAACTCTACTGCGCAGGCCTAGAGAAATATAACCAGTTATTGCAGACATGCAGGTCTCAAGAATTCATGACATTTAGAGTAGTCAGTTCAGTGTTTTGTCACAATGCAATACAGCGCTTGAAACAACATTCTGAGTTAAGATCGCTTGTTTGCAAGCTCCTATTTTTTTCCTCCTCCCTGGAAACAAATCCATGTATTCATAAAAATCTACAATCTATATACTGTGTTCACTACAGTGACCCTAGTTCATACAGACAAAAAAATGTGTTGATGTTTATAACTTTGCTTTACAAAGGAAAATTCAAGAGCAAAACCTAGAAAGGCTTTACAAAAACGCAGATGCTAATACAAATATCTAAAATCAAGCAGCATAGGTAAATTTATTCTGAAACGACAATTCCATTTCTGTATTTTTCACATAAAGGTGAAGGGCTGTGCGTTCAGTGGCACCTTTGGTACGGTCAAAGTGAAACGACCAAAATAAAGGACAAAGGTGAGTTTTTGAAAAATAAATAAATCTAAAAGACAGCTTTCCGAAATAAAGGACTGCCCTTTATAATAAAGGGTGTATGGTCACTGTAGTGTTCGGACATTGTAGATTCCTTAACTGCTTTATTAAAGAAACCACAGTAGGCCAGCTTCGCGTAACACACGAGAGTTAAGCTCTAACACCAGGAAATTACGCTATAATACTAGGAGAAAGGAAAGAAGGAATGAGTCAGCCTGTTTTGCATGTTAAAGATCCCTAATACAAAGGTCAGGATGCCCAGGTGGGGCTGGGAAGTGTCCGGAAAGCTTAAAAGCTGCTCTGATGGCAGCAGCAACACCTGAGTAAGAAGGACCCGGATCCAACTCCCTCTAAACCAGCACCCGAGGATGGAAGAGCCGCTCTGAATTTCTGTCCCATTCGTTCCTGTCCATCTTCATTCATCCGTCCCTTCTGTCTCTTTCCTCCCTCCCAAGGCTAATTTTACCCACATGGTGATCCTGGAGGAGAAGCAGGCTATTAATGTGCAAAGGGATCAGCCCTGCCTTTTCTCCATCCTTCTTCTTGGAGAGAGACAGAAGAGGGTCCAGCTGGAAAGAAAGGAGAGATGCATCAGGAAGAGGAGAACTGGGGAATCCCAGTTCTTATTTCGGGGAAGGAAGGGCTGTGGATACTGAGTGGCATAATACTTGGGAGACAGATAGAGAAGGATTCTGCAATTGTGTGAGTCCCAGTTCCTGCACATCTCTGACCCTGGCCAAATTCTCTCCCTGAGGTGGTATTTCTCGCCGGGGTATCGATATTGAGCCTAAACCGCCAGCTTGTTTCGCTGCAGAGCCGTACCTTGTTCAACTCCGTGGGTGTGGACTCAGCCAGGTGTCTTTGCTGCAAAAGGACAACGTGAGAACATTATCTTTAAATAGGATGAAGCCAGCAGCTGGGGTTGAGGTCAGCACAAACCAGAGTCTCAGAACAGCCAGGAACAGAAGTGGGACCGGGGGGGGGGGGGGATCAACAGGGGTGTTTTCTTTCAGGGGGGTTTGGGGGGAGGGGCCCCCGGGGGGGGGGGGGGGGGGGGGGGGGGGG